AGAGGAAGGGGGAGAGAGAGAGAGAGAAACATCAATGATGAGAGAGTCATTGATTGGCTGCCTCCTGCACGCCCCTGACTGGGGGTGGAGCCCACAACCCGGGATCTAACTGCAATCTCCTGGGTGCTAGGTTGATAGTCCACCGCTGAGCCACGCTGGCAGGGCAGTCTCGTGGGATGTGATGCTATCTCCAGGTAGATCGTGTCAGAATTGAGTTACACTGGAGGACACCCAGCTAGTGTCACAGACTTGCTTGGTGTGGGAAAGCTGCCCACATATTGGTGACGGAAAGTGAAGTGTTTTGTAAAGGAGAGCGGAGAGCTACAGGTGTCTCTGACCAGCTGGTATCAGCGAGGCAGGGTTTGCCAGACCCACCCTGGCTCGTGGAAATGCGTGGCTTGGGAAGAGAAAAGATGAGAGGGTGTGGGATGAAGAAGCTCTGATTCCTGGGCAACCACGTGGGCCCCCTGGGTGTGCACCAGCAGCTGGGTTACAGTCAGTTACTAGAGGTAAAATTACCGAAAGAATTTAGAGATGGACCCCACTGTCGGGGACTTGGTTCGCTGCGTGCATAAGAAAATGCAGACTGTAAGGAAAACGTGAAATACTCATCTCCTGGTCTCCGTTCGCTGTATTAGCTCAGATGGAATTAAAAGAGAGTGCTGGGTCAGACCTGGAGGCGAGACGGAGTTCAGGGTTGTGCCAGCCCGAGCTGCCACCGCTAGCCTCAAAGCCACCCCGCCAAGGGAAAAATTATGCGGGGACAGCAGAAAGCAAGACCTCTGGGCACCACGAAGGCAGGCAGTGAGGGAGGAGAGAAAAGCAGGATGCTAATGAACCCAGGGGGCACGGTGTGACCGAGGTGTTTCATTGTGAGGCTATCATCAGCTTCCCAAGGAACCTTTACTGGAACGGACCGTGGTGGGGAGTAATTTGGGGCTGTCTTTGGTCTTGAACGCTGCAGAGAAGAGCACGTTGGGTGGATGCAGGACCCACAGCTCACTGTGGATCACGGATGGCTGTGTGTGATCCAGACCCAGGAGGCTGTTCCTGAGGGAGTGGCCAGCCTGGTGCTCTTGATAAAAGCTGCCACAAGGTCATCGTCCCCCATCTCTGCCAAGTGGAGCACCCCCGAGGAAGCAGCTGCTATGCTTTGTATGCAAGCCACATGGGAGTGGCTGTAACGATGACCGGGATAGTCACCCCCTGAATATGCCCGCTCCCCAGGTCATGGTGAATGCTGCGGTTAAGGGGCCCTTTCACGTGGGCACCCCACATAACCTCAGTGCCGCAAACCAGAAACAGTTTTGGAAGGCTCATTGAGGTTGCTGTCTCTGCTTCCCCTCCTGGGTCTCACAGATGTTAATAACTAGATTAGCTTAATTAACAAGAGAATGGGGGGGAGGCAGACGAGAGAATCCAGGGACTGGTCTCAGCAGGGTAGAAATTTTAAGCGGTTTTTAAGGAGTAAGGTGAGTAAAGCACCGTGTTTTCATCGTCAAAACTTAGGATTGTGGCTTTTCCTCCCTGCCTTCGTATAAGGTCAAAGAGACACTGGCTCCTTTGAGAACCTTAAAGCAGACTCCAGGAATGTAACCAACACATTGACCTTTGCAACCAAATCCAGTAAAATTCAAACAACCGTCATCGAGCACAAAGGCCGCGATTTTTGGCCGCCCTCCACCAGCCGGAGCCTGATACTCCAGGCAGCGGCAATGACCTGGCCATATGGTCAGGCGGAGGGCAATGGAAATGAAACTTGGCCTATTAAAGGGATGCCTGTAGGGGGGGATAGCCCTTGGAAATCACTAGGGCATCTGTGGTGCATTAAAGCAGGGCACTTCGATGTCCATCCAAAGAGCACCTTCCCAGGTTCAGAAAATGACTGAAATCAACAAGCATATGTCCCGATGTGCTCGCTCAAGGTGGTCACCTGGGTCCATAAAATGAGGGGACCTGGGGCTGCTGCAGCAATGCACAGATGGGCCGGACCTAGGCATTGTCCTCTTGTAATCTCTGAGGCACGAAAGTCCAGTAAGAGCTGTTCTGCCTGCCAACAAAAGAGACAAAGACCGCAGATGGCCATGTGGCAGATCCCCTGGGGGGAAGGCCCTGAACAGAGCTGGCCAGAGAAACTGCTGCTGGAAGCCCTGGGCAGCTACAAACGGTCCCGACAGGAATAGACTCTGAGTCTGGACTGGGCTTTGTTGACCGGTGGTAGCTGCCAATGCTCAGTGTGCTATAAAAGAGCCAACACTGTACCAATTTGGATGGCTGACCATCGTTTCCTCAGACCAAGGAACACCCTTTACAGCCCATAATGTCCAACAATGGACAGAGATGCTCTCAGAGTACTGGTTTGACAGAGGATTGGAACAGGCAGTTGGAACGCGGGTTGTGGAGAATGCGCGGCGATGAAGGCATCATGGGCTGGCTTACGCGCTACACGACTGTGCGCTCATATTCGGCATCAGGGGGCTTAAAGGAGTGTCCCCACTGGATGGCTGTCCCTGTTTTTCTAGTGGATCTGGAGAAGAAGAGGTAGGGAAGGGCCATTGCTGGCATTCTTTCGGCCCCACATCAACTCCCCTTTGTTTTCCTCCCGACGCAGTGGGCACAGGACCACTACAAGGGATGGGAACGGAGAGGATTCCTAAGCGAGAAACGGTAACTGTGGTTGACGTTTATGTTACAACTGCTAAGGGCCCGATGGGGCAGGATGTGCCTTCAGCCCATCTGGCGAAACTCGGGGCTAACAGTGAGTGCACCTAGACTGCCCACCCGTGGTCAAGGCAGCCCACTAGCTCTGCACCTGGTAGCCTGGCCCGATCGGAACAGAAGTGCCCTGAGGCAGGGGAGGGCACTTGCTGCCCGCAATCCAGACCAGCACAGCGGAAATGTCGGGGTATAAATGGAGAGAACTGAAGGTAAGGGACTGAGTAAGTGCATTATGTAGGGAGGGGAGTCCAATATTACATTAGCACCTCCAAAGAGGCACCGAGCAAGAAATGATGTGATCTCTTAGCTCAGTTACACCAGCTGCCTAGAAGGGTGAAGTCCTAAATTGCTGACACCACCCCTGCCTTTGGAACTGGGCAGGTTTGAACAGAAGCCTGCAGACATGAGTGGCCCTGGGAGACATTTTCATACGGTACGAAGATGGACTGGATAGTTATTAATGGCTGGATGGGATTCGTAATGTGCCATATCTTTTGAACTTTATGATCGCTTTGCTATCAGGGATCCATGCTCCCACACCAGGGGGTGAGCCGTGATACTACGATTTTATAATAAATACATATTTGGTCTTTGTCCCCAGGCCCTGACACAGGGCTCCTAAAACCCTCGTAAATTCCCAAGTGATGAGAGCACTCGCAGCATCTCTTGTTCTGATTTGGTGACTCTCTCTTCTGGCTCCTGGATGGGGCTGCTCACCAGAAAGTCGCAGCCAGAAGTAGGAGCTTGGAATTTTCAGCCTGGTTCCCCATTCACTGGTCTGGAGACGGCGGAGGGGCTAGAATTAGACTTAACGATTGCTCGTGCCAACTTGAGGAAGCCTCCACAGGATCCCAAGAGTACGGGGTTCAGAGAGCTTCCGGCTTGGCGAGCACATCCACATGCCAGCAGGGCGAAGCACCCCAACTCCGCGGGGACAGAAGCTCCTGTGCTCGGGACCCTCCCGGCTCTATGCAGAGATGCTGTACTTCCTTCACCTGGATGTTTTGTGAGAATGGCTAATATGTGTCCCTTCATCTGCCTGTTTATCTGTACCCTGTAGCGTGTCCTTTAATCAGCTGCTAAGTAAGTGCTTCCCTGAGTTCTGTAAGCAGCTCCATCAAATAAACCCAAAGGGAACAACAAGCTCACAGGAACCTCTGATCCGTAGCCAAGCTGGCCAGAAGCTGAGGGGAGCCTGGTGAAGGGAAGCAGTTTGCCACCCCAAACAAAACAGGCCTCTCTGGGGCATTGATTATTTTTAAGCTGGTTGTTTTTAAGAAACAAAACACTCAGAAAGGACCTTTGACCTTTCCCCTAACTGCCTAAAACAATTTAGAGGGGGACTCGCTCCAGGAAGGGAGCTACAGATAAATACACTTTAAACTGAACTGGGGTGTGAGGGGGAGGAACTGAGAAACTTTGTCTGATCAAAGTCCCCTCTGTTCCCATTGTTCAAGATGGTCCAGCAAACGTGTGTTTACCAAACTTCTGCTTTCCACCTCCATGTGGATGGCCTTCCTCCCCTTCGAAGTCCCAAACCACTACCGGCTCCCACCCACCCCTGCTTTCCCCTTAGCTCAAGATGACAGATAAGCCTCAACCGCCTGCTTCTGGGCCCATATTCTTATGGAACCCGTGTATGCGCAGATGTAGCTAAACTCGGTTATTTTCTCCTGTTAACCTGCCTCTTGTCAATTTGACTATTAGACCAGCCAGAAGAACTAAGAGTAGAAAGAGGGGAAATTTCCCTCACGAGGGACCTGCCACCTGAGGCATCTGAAATGGGGGTTAGTCTCATGGGACCGAGCCCTTAGCCTGTGAGCCCTGACGCTAGCTCCAGGCAGAGGGTGTCAGAATTGAGTTACAACGTAGGACACCCAGCTGGCATCGGAAGATTACTGTGCGTGGGAAACCCACACACTTGGTGACCGAAGTGTCAGGAGTGAAGTGTTCTCTATGAAAGTAAAGGAGACACACAGAAAGGTAAACCGACATTTTCTTAACATGCTAAGGCTGGGGAAGGGGGAGGGGCAAAGGAAGGGGGGAGGGAAGAGAAGGGGATACGGTGACAAAGACCAAGAAACTGAGATAAAGTCATTCTGCACCCAAACTCCTAAAGAGCAAGGGACTGACTTCACTCTCTGGCTACCTCCTGGCCCAGCCCGCCCTCCCGTTCGTCTGCCTGACAACTAATCTCCCACATGCCGGCCAGGAGGCGCTGGCTTCAGGCCCTATCAGCTCCCCAGCAGGCCGCTGCCTATCGCTGAGCCTGGCCAGCTGCAGGGGCACCCCGTGTGAACAAGGCCAAGCCCCCGACCTTCCCTGGCTCTCGTGCATGAGAAATCTCCACTGTCTCCCTTCGAGTCAGAGGGGAGCGGAAGTTCCACCACTGGGGATCCCCATGAGACATGACCAGCTAAGCCTTCGGGGGGTGATGGAGAAGAGGAGGGGAATGAAGCCGGAGCCCCCTGGGTGTGAGGAGATGTGGACCAGGATCCCCGGGATGAAGCAGAGTGACAATTTCAGGTAGTGCTAATTTGGTCAGGCCAGCCCTCACAGGAAGTAGGCCTGGGCTCCTGCTCAGCTGAGCATCCTGCCAAACACATTCCCAAGGAGCAGAAGCAGGGCCTGAGGAAAGGGAGGCAGGGGTGTGGGAAGAAGGTGAGTCCACACCCTGGGCGGTTCCTGACAGAGCCTCTGGGGCAGGGCCTGGCAGGGCTGCCCAGTTGCCTGGCTCGGGTTCCCCTCTTGCCCACCTTGTACCCAGGCCGGCCGGGCCTTCAGGACTCACATGGCTAGGAGGCGGGCCACGGTGGTCTTGAAACGGTCAAAGATGTAGCCGGCAGGGAAGGTCATGAAGTTGTTCATGAAGGACGCCAGGGTAAAGATCAGTAAGAACCTCTCGTCCTGGGCCTTGCAGTCTGGAGGAGAGACAGGAAGAGCTCAGGAGCCCAGGGTGGGTGGGCCAACCTTCCAGCCACCCTGGTTTTCCTGCCAGGTGGGCACCCAACCTGGCTCCCCTCTAGGGCAGCCCCTGCCATCTCAGACAGCTTGCCTGGTGGAAAGTTCTCCCGTAGGTGAGTAACTGCCCCTCAGAAGCTGGTACCTCCCTCCCTAGGCACCCCTTAGACTAAAACTGGGACACGGAGGAAGGCTGGCCGACAATCCCTTCCTTTCTCCACAGAGAGGCTGGCAGGGTGGGCAGGAGGTGGTGTCCTTCCTACCCCTTCCCACCGCTTAAAACCAGACTCAGCTTCCTAGAGACGCCCTCACTCCCTTACCATGTGGGCCTGTGGCATTGCCCTTCAGCCTGGGGTCTGGTTCACACAGCTCCTCAAAGTAATGCTCTGTTTTGAAGACGAATACTAGGGACGTCCAGCCAAAGAGGACGCCTGCGAAGCCCAGGCATTCCAGCAGCCCGGTCAGCAGGGTGGCCACGCGCAGGGGCAGTCCCTGACCCAGCATGGCCTGGGGAACAGCAGATCCTCAGAGCCCACTGGCACTGGTGGCCTCCGGGCTGACCGCAGGAGTTGCGACGCCTGGCGCTGGAGCACTCGGGAAATTCCTCTGGCAGGCCCTTCTGTTCAAGGAGCACTCAGGTCCTGGCTGTTTTGGGCTTGGGCGGAAACCATCGGTGGATGTGTCTCTGGCTGCTGTAAAAGAAGGCGGAGGCTGCTTGGTGGGGGTGGGGGGGTCGGAGGGAAAGGCAGAGGTGAGCAGAATCTTTCCTGTGGGCTGGAGAGCCAGGCCAGCTGTTGGAAACAGCTGCAAAAAGCCTCCCTGTCCCACCACAGCTGGCAGCAGGTGGCAAGGTGGGAACCGAGCCCAAATTCTGGACACTGTCCATGGAAATGACAGCAGCAACTCTGCCCCAGTTGCAGGGGCTGAAGGGACTCTATGTATGTTCTCACAAATCCTCGCTGCAGCCTGGCAGACCTCATGTTTTGTTAGCTTCCCTTTACTAACAGGGAAGCAAAGTCTCCAGGGTATTTTGTCAACCTGTCCAAGGTCACAAGGGTCAGCTAGTCACAACATGGGCAGGTCTAATGCCCAAAATATCCCAACTCCAACAGTCCTTCCTCCCTGACCCTTGGCTGGGACTCCCCATGTCCCCTCCCCGCCCCTCCACTAATCACCATCTGCCCCGAAAGAAAGCGCGCCCAGAGGCACAGCCCTCACCCCCACCCCACAGCGCCACCGGCAGAGGCGCCCCAGGAGTCAGCAGCCTCACCATCCATCGCCCCCCCATCCCATCCCCTTCTCCCCCTGTCCCGGTGGCCACGGCCGGCCCCTCCTAGCACCCTACCCGCCTCCTCCTGGCGCCGGCTGGCAGTCCCGCTGTCTGTCTGTCTGTCTGTGGGAGGTTGGAGATTCACGCCTCTCCGTTCGCAGCCCCTCCCTGCCTGGCCCTTGCCCCTGCTGGAGGCCGGAAGGGCCGGGACAGGCGGGGCGAGTCTGGGGAGGTTGAACACCTCCCACTCTCCATCACTTCCTTCTCCGGGCTGGCAGTCTCTCCCATCCTTTTGGATTGTGCCCTTGGATCTTCTCGCCTGTCTCTCCCTCTAACCCCAGCAGCTGCTCTTTCGACCTCCCAGCTCCCCGGCCTCTCCTCCCTCCCAACCACGTTCATTTTAATACCACTGTGGGCACAGGCAGACCGACGGAAAACCAAACCCATCACAGACTCACAGCACACACACAGAGGACACACGGCCACGTGCGTACACGCGGACACACACACCCTATTCCTTGTGCTTTTCCTTACCATGTGGGTGGGCACAGAACACATTTGTCCCCTTTTGACCACCAGCTCAACTCTCCTCATCTCACGGGCCCAGGGTGGCCAGCAAATCCAAAGCACAGCAGATCTGCCAGCAAAGAACCCATCAGAGACCCAATGACCGGGACCAGACAGCTTTCCAGGACCACCTCCTGGGGGATCCCCTACCGCTTCACCTCCCAGCCCAGGTACTGAAACAGCCTTCCGGCCAGACTGCGTTGATTAAGTATTCATTATCGCCCCATTTTTTATTAATCAAAGACATGTATAATTGCCCATCGGAGCCTGTGATCAGCATGAGATCACCAGCCGAACCAGCTGCATTGCTGGCATTCTGGCCCAGAGCAAGTGAACTGCCAGCTTGGCCATTTCCTCCCCAAAAGCTGAATTGGGGGAGAGCTTTGTGCATATTCAGTGCTGTGGGCAGACCCCCATACCCGGCCTCCTGGATCCCCCACCTCAGGGATCCCAGGGACTCAAGCTATTCCAAGCCCTCCCTTCTTTTTAATGGGGAAGAAATAAGAGGTTAGGACAGTGGAAGGCCAGAACCTGGGAGTGGAGTACTTTCCAGATCGCTACCAAAACACAAAAGATAAAGGAAGCGCAGCTACCCAGGCCACTGACCACATGGAGTAGGGGCAGGTGGCTCTGGTCCTGTGCCCCAGGTACTCACAGTTACACAGCCCTGAGCAAGCTCTTTGCCTAACCCACCTATGAGATGAGAACTGCGGTGTCCTAATTATAGTACCTGCCACAAAAGAAAGATGAGGCGAGCTTGTTGCTGCAGGTACAGTGGGCAGCAGCCAGACCGACAATGGGACTGGGCTTTCTAGTTCTCGAGAATGAAGAGGGAGCCAGCTTTGGGAGAGGGCTTCACAGGAACTGGCCGGGTCGCTCTACAAAGTGGCAGTGTCTGCCTGACTCCCAGCCTATGTGCTGACTCCACCAGACTTAACCTAGAATATTTGAACATTGGAGAAAACAAGTCTTTTCTTTCAGAATCAAGTGATGAGGTGGGGGCAGGAGGACCGTAAGAAAATACAACAGGCTAGGACAAACGGGACTTAAGATTTTCTATTTTACTGCAAGACACAAAGATACTGAAATTAATTCAAGCCCTATCTCCTGCTCTGGCTTACATTTTGGTCTCCAGAGGACCTGGGGGATCAGTGAGTGTGGAAGAAGCCAGGAAGGAACAGAAAAAGTCAAAGCGAGCAGAGAGGTTGTAGAATGTAAATTGGCAGGAGCCGCCAGACAGGCCCAGCTCAGGGGCTAACTGGGCATCCAGGACTGGAGCTCAGGGCCCAGGACAGGGCGTCAGGGTTCTGTCCGCCGCATCTTGCGACCTGTCTCTTAGCTCTCAGTGCCCCCCAGCTCACACCCACGTCAATGTCTGCAGAAGGCACTGCCTTTAGGGAAGGGACAGTCTCACGGAAACTGGGACAGAATGTTGGGATATTCTCGGAACCATCCCCGCTTGGTCCGGTTCGAGTCCCGGCAGCCAGCAGAGGCACCTGCTGTTCGGATCACCCCCATGCCTCACTTAATAGGTAACATCAGAGAGAGGAGTGAGTGCGATAGGGCCTGATGGCGCCCGATGTCTTCATTCCTTCTCTCCTGTTTCCTTTCTGCCTCTCCACCCTGAGGTCCTTTAAGTAAATTGATCAGCTCAACAAACACCCGTGGTGCCTGAGGCTCTGTGCCAGGGATTCCGAGAGAGAAAAGAGATTCAGCACCTTCCTTCAAGGAGCTCATTCTCTAGCTGGGGAGACAGACAAAGCAACCCAAGATTTCCGGAGTGACGGAAGGGTTGTCGGGACAGAAGCCAGCGCAGCGCGTTCTGGAACACGGGGACTGAAGGGCGCGACAACCGTCAGGAATCCCCGGTGCAGACGCGGCCAGGGGACGGGCCACACCTGAGGCTGGGGTGAGCGCCTAAGTGAAGGCGCTTGGGCGGCAGCCCATATCAGTTAATCAATCGCGTCTATTGATTCTACCCCTTAATCTCTCTCCTACCCATCCTTGGCCACTGCCCTTTTCAGGCGGCACCTCTCACCGGGATATTAGCTGCTTCCGAACCATCGGCTTTCTGCTGTTGATTTCCACGGTTCCCATTTGATAAAGGACTTGGACTTCGGATATACCAAGCAAACAGACAAATGAAACAAAACAAACTTTTTGTCCTTGCAAAATCTGGGCTCATGCAAATCAAAATATCTGGTTTTTCCAGCTTTGGTCTTCAAAGGGGTTTTAAGAGTTCGTTTTGAAGACAAAAGGGAAATGCAAATATTTTTTCATTTCAACTGGGAAGAAAAATACCCATCATCTTGAGGCGATACCAAAAAAAAACCACCCACAGATTTTGGGTCAATTTACTGATTTTACGGATCCCTCCAAACTCCAGTCTCCTCATCTATAAAATTGGAATTGGGTTGCTGTGTGAATTAAAAATAATGCAAGAAAATCACTAGGTAATTAATAAATGCAGTTTTTGTTGTTAACAAAAAGTATTTAATAACTGAAAAACAACAGAAATCATGAAGTCATATTTGAGGAGGGTCGTAAAATGCTCCTAACCTAAAAAAGAAACAAATGAGGGGAAATATCACCCGATAACGCATGAGCTCAGCCATCTGGATCAGGAATCACACCCCAGGGAACTGAACTCTAGGGAGCACCCAAGCAAACGGCAGTGTAAGCAGGGTGACCTCTCCACATCAGTAGGTTTGTCCAAAGCAGGGGCCTGTTTGTCTGAACTGTGAGCTGTGGGAAGGAAGTCTCTTCAAGAGCCTAAGAGGACAGACAGGACAGGAAGGGAGTCTGACAGCTGGGCCCTTCAGGGTATCTTCTGCTGTGCTCAGCAGTTCTGACAGGGCTGGGGAGCCTCTACATAGCCCTGAATGAAGATGAGGCCTCCTTGCTCTGGGGAGACTTTTCTCTAACCAAGGGTGAATCCAAAAGGACACCCTAAAGGTATTGGGGAGAGGGGGCTGCTTCAGCCAGTCAAGTCAACCAGCTCAGCCCTGGGGGTGTTGGAGTCAGCAGATGTTTTCAACCAGACCAGCCTCCCTTTCATGTGCTTTCGGGAGGGCAGGGCTCCGGTCCAGCCACAGGGAGCTTCCAGGCCAGTTCCTGTGATAGAAATGAGGCCCCATGAGCCTCCTGCTGTTCATTGCCCTCCACCAGCTCTAGGTCCACGTTTACCAAGACACCGTTCATTGGTAACTTGACTTCTCGCATAGACTTTGCTGGAACAGAGTGCCCTGGGGGCACTGACAGCTGCTGAACCCCCAAAGCTAAGGACCAGGCTGAGAAATGCTGTCAGCACCCAGCATGCCCCACCCTGAGAGCTATAATAACACCTACAGTAGGACCTAACATTCACTGAGCGCTGACCACCTATCAGGCTCCATTCTAAGCGCTTTGTGCTGACTCTCACTAACTCTCACAACAATCCTGTGCAGACAGGTGTTGTTATTAACATCCATTATCTGGGCCAGTTGAGGCCCAGACGGCTTAAGCAACTCCCCCAAGATCACAGAGGTAGTCAGTGGCAGAGCTGGGATATAAGCCTGCATGTTCTTAACCAGGACCCCACCAGCCTCCCTGAGCCC